CACTAGTGCATAAAATTTTGTATGTATCTCGTGCGTGAAATGCGTTTATGGCCTTTAGCGTGTAATGGCCCTCGGCTAGCGCCATCGGGCCATCATTCACGCCACAGGCCATAAACGCCTACTTTACGCCCTTGATACATAAATAACTATTACACAAATTTATTATAAGCAATATAAACCACAAATCATAAGGGATCATTTTGAGAGAATTGAATTTTTATTGCTAATTAGGAATAATACCAATACTTGATTGTGAATTTATGAATTATTAAATAACTATTATTTCTGAAGTTCCCAATCGTATTTCAACATATGGCAACTGTGCTATGATCTGCCCCCAAAAATCCATATTTTTCGATAAATCCAACTAAAAAACTAAACATAATATTGGACATTTTCGAAAGCCGTTGGTATGACCCACTGAATGTATCTCCATGATTATTTTAAGAATTTGGAGTGATATACTATCGTCAAAAGAAAACAACGGATTCCGAAACATTAATCAGTAAAATCATATGATTTTCGAATGAAATAGTAAATAGTTTAAAGGTTGGTAGGTACAATAGGAAAACAAAATGAGAATCATCACGAAAATATTTCGAAATTCCCTATAAAACGTATTCATATTTCGATAGATAAATATCTCATATAATTATTTCTTATTTTCTTTCGTCTCTTCCCAGCTCAACATCTCAGACGACAATCATTTTTTCGTTTTAGCGCCCTCCCTCTTAATAATGAATATACACAGTTATACACTACACTGTTTTACCACTAACCAAACCGATTTTTTAACGCCTCGACACGTGTTTCGCTAACTATGTTAGCATCTTCAGGAGAAGATAAAAACTAAGTTTTAATCTTCCCCTGAAGATGCTAACATAGTTAGCGAAACACGTGTCGAGGCGTTAAAAAATCGGTTTGGTTAGTGGTAAAACAGTGTAGTGTATTATCGTGCCAAAGGTTCCAGTCTTCGATATATACACAGTTATTTTTAAATTCTCCTTTATATGGGAACTGATGGTTATAGAAATGCAATGAAACTATATACTATAAATATATATGAAAATATCTTTAATACGAAATATCACAATATTTTGATAAAAAACTCATATACATATCATGCAGTATCTATATTTAGAAATGCTATAGATATATTATAGAAAAAGAGAGCTAATAATAAATATATCCAAAAGAATATCTATAGTTATCTCATATTCATATAGATCATTCTCATATAGTGAACTCAGAATAAAAAAAATACCATATTCTTTCTTATTCTAAAATTATTCGAAAACCTCAAAATAATATGGCGTATCGCCGAATGTAAGGAAGCCTATTCAGCTAAACTATTTATCCGAATCATTCGTTTTGAAAGAGGTTCTTTCTTATTAAGTTACACTAGAACCTCATCATAGTCACCAAGGTGTATTTTACTTCTTATTCTCACCACTAGCAATATATTTCAATCATTACACTTCTGTGAAACTGAAATATATACCTATATTGTCACCATGCCAAGCACTGCATTTCAATTCTAATCAAAATCTAGTAGCCAATACAAGTCATTATTGATGAATATACTAGATTCGAGTGCCATTTCTGCGAATTTCGCCTCGGAACAGTGAATTCGGGTCAACTATAAGAAAGGTCTTTATTGATTATTAGTTCATAAAATGACGAAAACTACCTTGGTAATAATAGTATATTATTCGACGAGCGTGTAATGATGGCCATTACTCATGAGAATGAAGTTTGCGACGTGAGCCGCAGGCGAACGTCGTAATCATTCGAATGAGTAATAGCCATTACACGCAAGTAGAATACTATACTTTTTCTATGACTGACTGATGAACTGGTTGAGTTCATCAGCAGTGAATATCTTCGCTTTCTTTGACATATATCCATCAGATTTCCTTTTTAGAAATGCTCGTAACTTCAAATATTTGTCAATATTCACATAATTTTCCATTGAAATGGTGCTTCTTAGTATATGCATGGAATACTATGACCACAAGGAGGATGCTTTGTGTTTAGCTGCTAATTCGCCAAAATAGGCTAGCAGTACATTATCCGAAAACGAATTTGCAAGTTTTGCTTTTCGCCAAACCACTTCATACCTTTTTTTAGATTCCTCGGGCAAAAGGCTGATTGTACTTGAATTGGCAGCTTTCAAAACTTCTGATGGTGGAGAGCAGTTGAATTCATTTTCGCTTTCTGAATCCATCATATTTGCACAAAAAGTCAGTTCTAAATCACGCCAGATAGCTATTGTCAAATTATGACATTTCATGACGAGTCTGATTCAAACGTTTCACTGCATGCCCCATATTATCATTACAACTGGTGTCAACTGTTTTGTAGGTAATGAATCTGCTTTGTTGCTGATTGGCCATAGCCTGTTGTGTAAAGGCTCTTACACACGGGGCGTGGCTTGTTTTGTGTAATGCATCCAGTTACCCAACAAAAATGTTACATTAAAAGGGTCTAGTTTTCAACAGTCATAGAAAAAATAATATATTACACACCGAGGTGGAGAGAGATTCATTCCTGTCGTGAGATTAGTTAGTCAAATGCCTTTAACAAATTCTAAAAGAAAAATCCAATAGTTTGGCACTTCGTTTGGAAAAAATGTTTGAAGAGAATAAATATAGATTTATTGAGAAAATATCGAATTTATACTTATCTTTGGACGTTTCAGGAACGCATCTGCTCCTGTACTCAATATAAAAATGCAAAATATTTCTCTTCAAAAATTTTGTTCTTATATTTTGACACTTATCAGTGACATACTGATATTGGCACTCATTTGTATACTAACATCGTCACTCATCCATATGTCAGCCAACATCAGTATGTATGTATGAAATCTATATATTTTTAAATATATCTATATTTCTTCTCTTCAAAATTTTTTTCCAAACAAAGCGTCACTGACAAGCTATTGGATTTGTTTTAGGCTCCCTGATAGAAAAATTTGCGAAAGGCAGTGACATTTTGGGGAGAATCATCTGATTTGTCCTATTACACAGATATTTTGAAATGATACTCATATTTTCATTTTGAAGAAACGAGGAGAGAAAATACTAAATAATAAATTGAAATTAACATTTCCAAGCTGTACTCCGCGTACTCCAGATCGTTCCTACATCAGCAAGTTATGATATGGGTTTTATCATTCCGAAGGAGAACTATTTTTTCATTTGAAAACATTTGTGAATAATCCTAAATATGAAAAATTGCCAGATATATAATCTTCTACAAACACTAAAACATACCTCCATCCATTCGGCGATATACTTCCGACTCAGAAAAGTTGGCCAATTCAATCCTACCATAGATTAACGACTCTCCTAATCTATGATCCTACCATTCGGCTATTCAACGGTTTTCATGACAGCCTGTACATTGGAATTTTGAATAATTGAAGTAGGTATGTTTATGTTCGGTGGTATAGGTACATTTGCAAAGTGATATAATATGCGTAGATATGATGAAATGAATGTTTATGTTGCAAGGCATTAGCAAAAGCACTGAAATGAATAAAACTTTTTGGTATGCTATATAAGTATTTATAGATCTATTGATATAGCTATAGCGAGTTAGTAGGTGATTTTATTTTTGTGGGATGAAACTGAAATCATACCGTACACACTCTTCTGATCTTCAAAATGCCAGTAAATGACTGCATATAAATGTTTCGTTCAATAAGGAAAAATCAACCATCTTGATGTTTTGAACATGACGACGATTCCACAAACTGTCTAGTTTTTGAAGTTTGAAAATATTGTAGCAACCTTCAAAATGGATAATAATGATCATGCGTTGTTACATTGACAAAAAATATATAAGTATAGGAACCTCTTCTCGATTTTACAGATATTCTCGACGTCAATTTTTTCAGTCATTCAGACTTTGGAAATTGGAAGAATATCTGCAATTGTCGTAGGTAAAGTCTTCTTCTCTTCTTCTATCGTGTAACAGCCATCTTCAAATGCATTTTGAATGCTAATAATATTTTATAGTCTTTTATCTCTTTTATCTCTGTTAATTATACTATACAGGGTGTCCCATAAGTCATGGATCAAAAGACATATGGGTATAGTAAGGGGGGTCGTTTGCGATCTTATACTAACCGTATATGTGGTTATCCCATTGTTGATGGTTAGTTTGACCCCTCCTAACATCCCACTTCTTTTGATACATGACTTATGGGACACCCTGTATACACCTACTGCTTCCGATCATGAAACACTTCGAATGAAACATGATTATCCAGTGAGAAAACTACCCAATATCCCTAATTTTTTCTTCGCGTATATCCAAATACGATTTTCAAATGTTTTTACCACGTTCACCTGAAATAAAAAAAATATGATTATGAAGGTTATAATGGAGTGAAGATGATTTTGAATCGGTCATCCGGATCAAATTGATGTCAGATTATACAGGGTGAGTCATAGTTAAACGGCGGATGAAGGAAGTCAAAATCATGCCATGGAAATACAAAATTTCCATAAATCATGTCGTTTTCCTATCGATTAAAGCAAGTAAGAATTTAAACACTGGTTTTTCTTCGTAAAGAAACATGTACTATAGTGCGTATTTCTATATTTCACTCACTGAATTATTTGAGGAAAAAAACTGTTTATTCAGTCTTCAATCCCACGGTGGGAACGAAAATATAACTTCTCGTGGGAGGTGAAATAGATCAGCCTCAACATGCTTCCTTGGCCTTGAGATCCCTATAAGATCCGTGCAATCCAAGTAATCATTCATTCATCATCATTATAAAACAAATACCGATTGCCTTTTCGATTTCCAATGATCTCATTTTGTATGACGATGATACTGAGTGAATTCATGAGGAGGAACATCACGAATAAAATAGGAGTAAGTACCTATTATCAATGAGAACCAATTATTGAATGACAGTGAAATGAAAATAACAACAGATTGAATAATAAGCAATATGCATGAATCCTACTTCAAATAGTACGTTAGAGTGGCCGTGCAATATTTTTAAGCACTACACCAGCTATCTCAGCCCCTGTTTCTACCACTCTATTTCCTAGAGCTCCAAAGCCCCTCACTAATTCTCCAACAATGTTAGTACCTAGACTTACCGTAGCTTGAATACCAGCCCCAATATTAGCTAAAGGCCCGTATGACACTGGAACCGGAGAAAATAATGTATTAGAATTGGTGCTGATGACTATGGGCTTATTAGCTATGATTTGCGTTGATTCTGTTGATGCGATGGGTTGTTTGATGATTTTTCGAGTTGTCGAGGTGATTTTCCTGGTGGTAAAAGTCTTTGACATTGTGTAAGGTTCAGTTGTGCTAGTGTGAGTAGTTTGCTTGATAGTGGTTGTTGAACTGAATGTACTCGTCGTGGGACTGCTTGATCCAACAGTGTTTCCATCAATATCTTCTGCACCAAATCTGTTATTGATCACTAATTCAGGAATGACAGGTACTGGTCCCAAGTTGCTGGAGGCAAATGAGTTCTCAAATTTGGTGATGTATGTACCATCTGGATCCCATTCATTTTGAAGTTGAGCCCATATTTTTGGGTACTCCTTTTTTAGTCGTTTTATGCTTCGAAGTGTGCCGAACTTCTGCTTCTCAGTACATCGTTGACAGTTGGTTCGTAGTGCTTCTGGTAGAATTCCTGAGAAAAAAAAAGGAATATATAATCACTTTGGAAACCGATTCGTGCTTTGCTCAATGTATATCTTCCCTATGTACATAATACATAATATGATTATATTTTCATTTCCTCTAATCAACGATGCTGATATCATCAGGCTCAGTGAGTCTTACGATTAGTTGTGAAACAAATGGAATAGATACAATTATGATAATTGCAGATTGTTAATTTACAAATAGGTCCTTGAATCTGAGAGATTGATTAGTATGCAAGACCTCTGTATTATGCAGACCTTTATTGTTTCATGTTCCAGGTGAGGAAATGTAAACACCATATGAAATCACCATACGTGTAAGACGTTATAATAATTACCTACATACTATTCATTCTGTATTCCTACATTCCTACATTCCTACTCAACTACTTGAATTACTAAAGAAAAATATAGGAAATACGTGTAGAACAGTTATACTATGGTGTCCTGCATAATTTTGATCATTTTCTTCGTATCATTTTCAACCAATCAGAACCTGCAATTGAATTGAGTTACCTTGGATATTATTGAATATACGTGGATATACATAGAGTAACTCCACCAATAAGATTATTTTTCTGTCTTATTTGTTGACATTTTCAATATCTAATATCTACTTGGCGAAGTACAAAATACAGAAGACACTCATGAAATATCAAAATAAAATAATAAAATGCATTTCAATTCACCTTTTTTAGAATCAACTATAAATCTATACAAACCTAAAGTCTTTCAGAATCTAGTTTCATTACATAAACTCAAGATTTAATGTTTCCTTCATTTCGCAGGAAGGAATTGAAAATATCAAATTTGAATTTTGATGAAGTTAATACGATTCACGCCCATGAAACAAGGTAATTTACTTTATAGATAGCACATAATTATAAGTCAAATTTTGGTGAACAATCAATATTCCATAGTGGCATAATTTCATATAACTCCTTACCTAATGAGTTGAAAAATGTAAAAGAAGCAGAAAGATTTGAAATCAATTCAAATAAATATCTGCTCAGTAAACTTTAATTCCATATCTACTAATCATTCACGATTTAATTATTTGGAATGGATTATAATATTCTTCATTCCATTTATATATTTTTCTAAAATGAAAAATGATAAACAATAATGTGAGGTAATACAAAAAATCAATCAATCAATTAATAATTTTCCCATGAAAGAGTATTGCTGAACCAGTTATTATCAGGCATACTGTGTTCCACCTTTTTAGAGAAAACGAAAGCTTGAGTTTTGGTGGTGTTGAATTAAACTAGATTGTTGGTTCCCCAGGCTCTGATTTTAGCAAATATTTCATTGACGACAGCGATGACCTGCCTTCGTCGTAAATTCTTAGTTTCCTGGTAAGAAATAGGAATTCTGGAAGAGAATGCAGTATGGTGAGTACAATGATCTGCAAAGCTGTGGATAGGGAATTGGTTACCCCGAGCAGATCATTAATATGGAGTAGAAACAATGTTGGTGCCAAAATTGATCCTTGTGGAACACCTGAATTGATCGCAATGGTATCAGACGATACTCAGTTCACCACCATATGGAGCGATTTGCCTGAAAACAAGCTCGATAAAAGATTGCATAGCTGAGGTGGTGAGCCGTATGGTGGTATAGTGGAGGAGTCCTTGTTACCAAACACGGTCGGATACCTTCGATATATCCAACGCTACAGCTAAAAATTCCCCATGTTTTAAGGAATCTTTCTATATATGGGTGACTTAGACACTTAGACAAGTGAATCTCCTGTTGATCTTCGGTGGCGAAAATCATATTGTCTATCATTGATGAGTCCTACTCATTCCAGATATTTGATGAGCTCAATGTTGATGGCTTTCTCCATCACTTTGGAGATAACTGATAACAGTCTATAGTTGTCGGGCAAGCTTTTGTTTGGTTCTTTTGGGGATTAATAAGACTCTAGCTATCTGCCAGCAAGATGGAAAATACTTATACCCGACTTGTACGAAATGGTAAGTAAATTCCAGAAAATCGGTGTCAATTCTGGTGCACACGTTTTGGGAATGATGGGTGAAATCCCATCAGGACCGTTCGCCTTATTAGGTTTGAGACCAAGCAGAATGCGTCTGATAGTGCGTTGACGAAAGACATTTCGGGTATTCGACTTTCAACGCATGGAATTTCTGGCAGCATTTTTCCCTGGGAAACTCAGGTGGAGTTTGCTGCGAACATCTCTGTAAAAAATATTTGTTTCTCTTGCGATGTTGTTGATTATGTGCCGTCTGCTTTTGCCTTGGTGACTTTGGCATGTTGCAAATTGGTTGAAGGTAACTGGATTCTGATCTTGGTTGATATAAAGACACCGTCAATTTGACAACTATAGAGAAATACAAGAATACCATCCTTCTATCCAATATGAAGAAAGCTATAATTTCATTGGCAATACTATCATCGTTGTTATAACATAGAATCATATACCTACATACGAACAGATGCACTGATCAGAAACGCCTTTGAACGGCAAAATAATAATAATAAGATACGATGTATAATTACCTTCTACATCCTATTAAATTTTATGAAATGATACTGATTTAGTACGGCAGATTTGGGTAAAAAATGCAAGGATTGTGTAGTTTTTGATAATGGCACGAAACTGGCAGAAATTGTTCAGTATATAGTCCTCAGTGATTCACGATAGGGAGGCCCTGAAAAAGTTCACAAGTCAACTAAATGGTGGCCCTGATGACTATGTAGACATCAATGATACAGATAGGTGAACGATTATTGCAACCGTGAGTTTCAAGGAAATTTTCAAGGCTTGTATGTGGTGTATAAAACTGGGTAATTGAACAGGGTGATCCTATGGAGGTTCAGTAGCAAACAAAATGACGGAAATAACCTCAGTACAGCGTGAAATGCTATAATATCATCGGAAAAATGTCATGACATTTCTTGGAACTTTGAAATGTATGATCCTGAATAATGACCGTGCGATCATTTAGAGAATTATCCAAATTGACTATCCACTATTAATTTGCGATCATTTAGAGAATTATCCAAATTGACTATCCACTATTAATTGCTTGTTATTATGAAATATTCAAAATTGTTCAAATCATCAAACAATGAGTATTTTTAATTCTCTTCAGGATGAGTGATCAAAAAGAACTGAACATCGCGTTCTCGAGTTTGGACGGAATATACAACTTTTATACATGGAAACCTCTGTCTATTGAATGTTGGTCTGTTAGAACTCCAAGTTTCAGATAAACAAGAGGTTATATGAAAGCTTGATATGCTGCTCTTTTAACATGCAACAAGAGTATATCTTTTGTTGGGGGTATAGTCCCTCTAGAGTCCGATGCTTCTGCGCGAGAAAATGCCGTCTTGCAGCAATTACTTCAGTTTTTGAGCATGTGTGATCATACATTTCTATAATAGAGCAGAAAGGGTGTCAAAGACATCAGATTCTATATATTTGGTGCGTGGTCTAGATATGACAATCACTGCTCCTGATAGTTCTGGGCAGTTCTCCTTTATGCTTCCGAAGAAAATTTTTTATATTTGTTGCGATTTTTACAAAGCGATATTGAAATGGAATATTTCTTGACACACCCCTGTCGTTTTTCATTCTCTTCCGTCTTTCGATACTTCGATTTTATTTCAATATTGTCAGCATGCTTTCAGGTGCGACCGACTGAGACGTGAGATGTGCTTCTAGCGGAGAACCGAGTATACTCAACACATATCAACAAGTCTCGACAAGTTCACTTACCTATACTACATATAATAATTTCTGATAATTCTACTTCACATGCTTTTATAATGGAAAACAAAATTGTTAAAAATCGATTACCTATTGGTATAGGTTATACTTACATTAAATCTAAATTGGCAAGGCCGCCATTTTGTTTTCTTGCAAAATTCCTCAGGGTTTCCTCATGTCAAGTCAATGAAAACCATTCATTGGATAATTTCTGGAAATTGTATTCTCTCATGATTGAAAGTATAATTGAAACGACCGTTCACCTTTGCTACCTCACATTTGAATTGACAAGGCTGCCATTTTGTTTTAATTTCAACTCCTTCAGGATTCTATCTGAAATCGTGCAGGACGATATGCTGATCGAATCCTGAGATTGTTAGGGTTTTTAAATGGAAAATATAATTCTTATTATCGTTCACCTATGATACATATTATACATTAAATATATGAATTGATAAGGAAGATGTATTGAACAAATCCTGAAAATTGTATCTTCTCATAATCAAAAATACAATTGAAATGACCGGTAACCTTTGTTACATCACAGTTGAATTCACAAGGCCAACATTTTGTTTTCATATAAACTTTTTCATTACTTTCCTACCTAAAATCTGTCTGGTCTATATACCAAACAAATTCTGATATATTCGTGCTTTTATAATGAAAAATACAATAATCGTTATGAAGCTGTGTTATATAACATTTGAATTGGCAATGCCGCCATTTTGTGTTTTCATGTCAACTTTTCCAGGTCCTTCCTATCTTAAATCACATTAGAACTCTACATACTGAACAATTCCCAAAAATTCATATGCTCCTATCATTAATAGCACAATAATTGTAACCGAAATCTGCCCCACTATATGAGAAAGTTATATAAGCGATAATGAAGCGGTTGATTTCCTACAATTTATTGGTAATTATACACCGAAAGAGGCAAACTTTGTATGGGAGTAGAGGATTTATAGGAAAGTTGAATGACCTCCTTGATGAAGTTTCATGTCATAAGTTTGGGATATACTGAGTGATTATGAAAAAAAAGTTCAAGTTTGGTTATACAATTGATTATTTGAGATTGCATGATAATACATTTTCAACTATACAGGGTGTCCCAAAATTACATTGAAAGATTTCAACCAAGGATTCCAGGAACAGAAATAGTAAAAAAAGGTCATGTAAACATGAGCCCAAAATTTGCCCTAGGAGAGTTGAAGCCATCTGCAAGGTGGCCCGAGATGAAGGCTTTTTGTA